GGACTTAAACTTTCTACAGCAATAGTGCGTTAGTTGCTCACATGCAGTATGGTGGTGAGATAGCATCAAATGTTTTAACGTGGCTTTGAAATGAAACAGAGGCGCGTTTTCTCGGTCCTTCGGGCAACATTATATTGGTATAAATCCATTTTAGGAGATCTATTCTTAACATGTGCAAAGAGTTGTCCTTTTTGTGACTTAGTGTACTTCTATAACCTTGTTGACCTGACCCACATGCAAGCAGCAGGCTATAAACCAGTTTTAATGATTTCTAAATGACTTGCCTCGTCAAAGATACTTGGTCGCAAGGCAAATACTGAGTGGTGTTGAAAATAATGACGCTATTTTATCATGCTGTAATTGAGAGTGTAATAAGATATTGTATGTGGGTGTGGTTTGGGAATTTGACTGTTAAAACAAAAGTAGAACTTTACAGATTAGTGCGCACAGCCTTTAAAGTCATGGGAGTTAGGGAGCATCCATCTTTGCAGCAGATATTTGAGGAGACTGTAATTAGACAGGCCAGGAAGATCACCTCAGACCCCTCCCATGTCCTCCACTCTCAATATGAGCTCCTCCCATCAGGCCGCCGCTACAGAGTACCCACTAGAAATAAGAAACGATATCTAAACCGGTATAAGAACTCATTCCTACCCATATCTGTGAACCTCCTGAATGCAGGCCATCGAGCAGAGCGGTGATGGTTTATGTCGGTGTCACTGTGTTGTGTTTTATGTCTGTCTTATGTGTATTTTCAATGTAGCAGCCTGTGAGTCCAAGACAAATTTCCTACGGGACATAATAAATTAATCTTGAATCTTGAATATGCCAGCCTCTTGTTTATGTATGTGTTTATTTGACTTGGGCATTGTGTATTAATCTGGTTTTATAAATACCCCAGATTGTAGCCTTGGGTTAAGTTCCATCCGTTGTCCCACTGTCGCACTCACAAACACGCACTCATTCATCCTGAAGAATTGTACACGTTTTTAATGGAAGGGGAAAACGAAAACACAGAGGAAAGTAATGCAGACACAGGGAGAACATGCAACCTCCCCACACATACAGGCTCATGTGAAGCAAGAGAGCTAACCACTGCGCCACCGTGCTGCCTGTGCAGGTGTAAGGTGCGTGTCAGGAAAAGGCATGTCAAGGTTTTTGGTCAAAATCCACATTTTTTTTTTGTGTGAAATGGGAATGAGGCTTTTGATGCAGGAGTAAATAAGTGATCATTGTGAGTAAGTAAGTAATCTTTAAAGCACCTTTCACAGACCAGCGTCAAAAAGCACAATTGTCCCTCAGTCCACTCAGAGATGGGAGCGGGGTCGCCGTACAGAAAGCGCATGCCAAACCTATTGTATTTATTTTTAGTGGTGGGGAAACCGGAGCACATGGAGGTAAGCTTCACACACAGGGAGAACATGCAATCTCCACACAGATAGGTCTGGTGGTGGAATCAAACCCAGGACCTTCTTGCTGTGAGGCAAAAGCTCAAAAATGTATATATTTAAGATAACAGGGACAGTGCACAATAAACATTAACCTCAAAGGGAGAGATGCATTGTACCAGGTTATAGCTCAAGAGCTCATTTCCACCTGTAGTCCCAGGGCAGGCTGATGTTATATCACATTAAAAAGTAACACACGTTCATGGATGTAGTTTACATTTGGCCAAAATACAAGTCTTCACATGCACAATTTGTTAAAAACTCACATTCAAATGACTCATTTATACTGGTCAAACACACACACTCCCCCCCCCCCTCTCACACACACACTCACACAAGCTACACATGAGTGCAAGTTTGGTTTGATAATAACCATTTCTTTAAAAGGCGTGAGAACATGTAGGAATTGGGGCTTGCTATCAGCTCTGTGTATGGGGTAAGGTTACTGTCAATAAAGACGTGCATGTCTAAAAAAAATGCGTGCATATTTATTGGTATTTGTGCATAATTTATTTTTATGAATTCATGATTAAGATAATACAAACTAAAAAGACATGGAATTTCGTAATTAAGAATAAAAAAATATAAAACTGTATGTGTGATTTCGTACTTGTGAATACGATTTTTTTTTGTGTGCTTGCATTTTCTTTTTGAGAATACAAATTTCAGCAGTGAGCAAACTGTCAATAATACGTCACTGCTCACAGACATTAACAATCGAGCCTGCGCAGAGTTGCTCATGGCAGAGGGCAACAACATTAACAATTTGGCTCAAAATCAGGTAAATAACTATATTTGATCATTTTGGTCGTAAATAAATGTGTAAGAAATATTAATTCCATAAAATGTGTTCATAAGATGTTTCTTGTCCCTCTCTAGAAACGTTTTTTTAGGCAGTGTTTAGTTAACACTAGCTTCAAGGCTAGTTTTACAGCTTACCATGTTATTTTAAAACCAACATTTTTACATTCTTAGCAGTTACATTTTATGAAGCCTTTGCCCCAAATCAATGTGGTTAAAGTGTTGATACCAGCCCCAACCCTCCAGATTATTCATAGTTCGCGCTGTTACTGCCCCTGAGCAATATGAAGAACACCTCCGTGCTATATTCATCCTCGGTTGTTAGACGTAGCAGACCCTGTCCCTGTGGACCTCAATCTTATATTTGTACATTTGACACATTACTTTTACTCACTAGTTCAGTAAGACTAGTTAGTCTGTTGTTTAGACTAAAATAAATGCATTATTTTCTGTAGAATAAAACAATATAAGGATAAGAAAATAAAACTAGCATTGGAGCTAACAACACTGCCAAAAAACCTTTAGAGGGACAAGAAACATATTCTTATTACACATACACATTTATGGAATTAATATTTCTTACACATTCATTTACAACCAAAATGATAAAATATAGTTATATACTTGATTTTGAGCCACTTTGTTTATGTTGTGTCCTTCTGCCATGTTTAGTTTTTAGGCAATGAAGTTGATCAACTCTGCGCAGGCTCGATTGTTAATGTCTGTGAGCAGTGACGTATTATTGACAGTTTGCTCACTGCTGAAATTCGTATTCTCAAAAAGAAAATGCAAGCACACAAAAAAAAATCGCATTCACAAGTACAAAATCACACATACAGTTTTATATATTTTTTATTCTTAATTACGAAATTCCATGTCTTTTTAGTTTGTATTATCTTAATCATGAATTAATAAAATATTTGTATGCACAAATACCAATAAATATGCACGCATTTTTTTTAGACATGCACGTCTTTATTGACAGTAACCTTACCCCATATCTGTGGGCAGCATGTTCCACTGACGAGTGGTCACAGGAAAAAGCAGAGTTTCCAAAAGCTGTCCTGCGTTTGAGGATCCTACACTCGCCGCTCGGTGGATCTCGTGGCTCGTGTTGTTATGTCTGAGCCTAAAGAGATGAACTCTTTCAGTGGAGGAGCAGCGGCGTCATGCAGGGTCTTATACAGGAAGCAAAGATTTGTGTGTTTAATTAAGTTGTAAAAGCTTAAGATTTTATGTTTTGTAAGGATATGACAGTGATGGAAACGTCTGCTTTTTTTATCGTGGATTTTTAATGAGTTTTTATAAAGTGACCAATTGAGGGGGATAAAATAATTAGCTTTATTATACGGCTCCTCACAGCAGCAGTAGAACGCTCCATTGATTTGAATGTAATTTCAAAACGTTCTACCGGTCATTATTTTCTATAACGGACAAAACAATAATTTTATGGTGCACTCCCACACCTTGCCTTAAATCAATTTATTTGCAACAATTCCTATGACGGTATATATAATTCCGATGTGACAGAGATGTAGTTGCTGCCGCCATGTTTACTTTTGCTCAGGACAACCATCTCATATATCCATATATATTCATCTGTGTTGTAATTATTATCCTTTATTATACGGCTCCTCAGAGCAGCAGTAGAACGCTCCATTGATTTGAATGTAATTTCAAAATGTTCTACCGGTCATTATTTTCTATAACGGACCTCTCAAAACAATAATGACCGCTGCCCTTTGGCAACGCACTCTCTGCTTGTCTTTCAAATGCGTGGATAACTCCGCAAGTAGTTCCGGCCACTCCTGAGCTAGCCACGCTCAATCAACACACTTAAATGTGAATCGGAGAATATACACACACGTGCAGGGACATTTTCAGAGTTGTCTACTATTTCTCTGCGTCAAAAAGCGATCGTGAAAAACCCGGAAGTAGTTCCGGCCGCTCAATAAACGCAAATGCCAATCAATCAGTGCAATGAAATGTTAATCGGAGAGTAATTTATACATATCCAGTCTTAATACAAGTGCACGGAAGTTTTCAGAATTTTCCGTTTACGTTTTCATGACAAAAACACTGATGTAATGCGAGAAAAGGCGATCCCGAAAAACCCAGAAGTAGATACCGGCACATTTTCGGACACATTTGCAAAGGATCGAATTATGGATTTAGGTCAAGTTTATGTTTGGGTCACTCACCGCTGATGTTCAGAATTCTGTGTTCAGTTTTCATGCAGTTCCAGGGAGTTCTAGTTTGGAAGTTGTCAGCCTAACTGTTGCACTAGCATAGCCACGGGAAAGCCTTAGGGAACTATTCTATTTTCTGTCATTAAATAAACCTTTCGGCATTCCTAAAAGTGGACTGAAGTTTATGTTGTGTGTTCTGTTGGTATAAAGCCGTATAATAAGCCGGATAACGTATATTACGCAGGTCATTATCGGAAAATAAGTACCTTCAGGGCGGAAGCTTCGCCCTGTCGGTACTTATTTTCCGATAATGACCTGCGTAATATACGTTATCCCTTACATATATAATAACAAAACAGATACGCGCACACAGCAAGAAATAGTATTTTTCTTGGCAAGGACAGATACTGTTTTGATTTGAAAGTAATTCCATCCATACATTAACTATACATACCTATATCTACAGTAACAGATGTCTAAATTGTTTCTAGGCATTCACACACACTCTGACATACGTCTAACACTGATCGTTATCTCGTTTAGCTAACAGCGCTTTACTCACAAAGCCACAAAGTTGAGCTGCTCCTTGGTCAGGTTCAGGGGGTGGTTGGACACAGAGATGCCGTAGCTGCGAGGGTCCTGTCCTGGAGGAAGATTGCCGCGCAGGATGGCATTGTTGGCAATATTCAAAAAGGACACCATGCCATGCCAGGCAAGGTTATAGAACCACACCTGGAGAAGAACACAACACAAAGATGTGCCATTAAACATAACTCAACATTTCCTAGCAACTGACAATTGTTTTGTGAATAAAACACATTCAGCTCGTCAAATAATTACATATAATTTACTCCATTCTAGCGGCAACCGGACGTGCGTTTTCTTCTCAAAGTTTACTTGGAAATTAGAGCTGCCTGTGTCAGGGCCTCGTTTTCACAGAACCTCTCTGTGACAACTGGTGTCGCCCCATTTTGAAATGTGTGTTTCTTTGTTTGACTTTGTGCGAGCGATAACAAAACGGAGAACACAGGTGGCAAAAAGGTTCAAAGCCACATAATTGCTAGTGTCGGCCTGGCGTGTTGTGATAGCCTGCTTGATGTAATCAGTTGTTGTTAAAGGCTCTTAAGAGCGCTGTGCAGCCAATATTGTCCACCGAATGGATCCTTTCTGTTCAGGGAAGAAGAGCCCTATAGAGTTGTCAGGGTAAATAAAAGTGTGTAACGCGTCTAAGCTCAGACCTCTTCGACAACAACCAAACAAAAACATGTTTCAAATAATTAGTTGATAATAATCTCTGAGAACCAGACGCTTCAATATTCATCACATTTGGTAATTTAGTAAAAAAAAAAAAAAAAATCTAGTTTCAAGTAAATTTGTAATTCATCTGTGCCTTGACGAAATGTACAAAACTAAAAATAGAATAATTGTGAAACGGCTGTGGCTCTGTTGTGTTGAAAGAGATGAACCGACGTCACTCATGATGGTTGTCATTTTGCAAAAGAAGACGATTAAAGCTCTCTGTAGGAAAAAGGCAGGAATCTGGAGCCAAAACGTGTGGCAAGCAACGACCTAGCAACAAAAGAGCCAATGAGAATGAGACCTTGCTGTTCCTGCATGACCTGTTTAAAGCGATAGGCTGAGGTGGCATCTATATACAGCCTATGCCCACTATATGTTTAGATGCATTGGTCCAACATAAGGACTGATTATACAAGTTTTACAGAATACAACTTTAAATGAAAGGTGTATAGGAGGATTTTCTACTTCTGGGTGGATCATCATGACTACTGGTCCTCCCAATTGTCAATCATTCTTGTGATACGTGCTCGTCAAATAAGAAAAAGACAGCTTTGCTCAAAAAGTGGAGAGGGCGGTACTTTCCTAAAATACCTTTAAACAACATTACATTTTCTTTCTGCTTTAAACATTAAAGGTGCCTTTCTTGACTTCTCTGACAGGGTTCGCAATACAATTATTGTCATGGATCTCTGGTTTCTTTGCTTTGTTTTTATCAGGTACTGTATAAACTTAACTCGTACTCATAGACTGTATATATTAACGGACGTAGTCACGCCCATCTCCGCCGTTCTGACGAATGGGCCAAAAATTGGGCTTTCATGGAGTGATTCAAAATGGCCGCGGGGGCTGGAAAATGTGGAAAAACGCATCTGTGCATGAGTCAGCTGCACGAGCTCCATTCATTTAAACGAGTGACTTCTAAAGTCCACAGCGACTAAACTAGACTGGTCCAGAACACTCCCCTCAGCATTGACACACATGTGGAACGGAGCTTTGGGCCAAGAGCCAACTTTTGGTCCATCCTGTAAAGACGTTTTCGAGAGGTCAGCTAATGCTATATGTTAGCATTGGCTAATTCTTATTCCGGGTCCACCCCCACAGGCCCGGGGTGGTATTGCAGCCTGTCAGCGCACGTCATTTTGGCCACTTTTAAACCATTACATAATTTAGTTGCAGATTATCTTTACGGCTTAAAACCCTGACTTCGTAATATGGGTCAGCTCTCCTCAACGCAGATATAAGACCTGCCCAGTGAAGTTACTTGCTCAAAGTTTATTGCCATATTGTAGCAAACAGTAGCTCCTCCACCAGGAAATCTGAGTATTGAATTTCTCTTGGACAAAATGGACAAATGTATCTTGGTAGCGTTGGCAGATACTTTTCACTAGGGGGATATATCGGGGAATATATGGGATAGAGTTTCTTATAGTGGTGGAATCCCAAAGAGCCAAACAACAAAAATTGCATATTATTATTATTTATTTTTGCAGGTTTTCCTTTTTAACGGAAGGCTATTTTTCCGAGTGTGTGGAGGACGGGGCTCTCAGAAGAAAAGGATGAAAGCGAGTGAGGCCCCCTGCTGATCGGGTGGAGCTAATTAAGACGGGATGTGTCTGAGTGTCAGTCTTACGGAGCAGCTGTGGATCAGAGCATCCACACACACCTTTGTCAGGTTTACTCGCCTAATGGGGACTTCACATTGGTTTCACGTTCACTTTCTGCGCCTTGACTCTAAATGGTTTCTATACTTGCCTAGATCTGGGTTAAAAACAGTTCTATTTAGCTGCGCATACAACTGAAGGATTTTTTTCTCTACTTACAATCTTGAATAAAATTACTGTATAATCTGTTCAGAAGCTAGTTTTGAAATCAGCTAATGAAGGAAGCTGATGATTGTTTTGTTAAGATAAAGCTTACTTGCTCATAATTTCATAATAATAATAATAATAATGGTTAATGCAGTGTATTTGCAAATTTCTCCGGTGTGAGATCAATAAAGTCTATCATATCTTTTCTCAAAAAGGGGTGAAACTTTATATCAACTCCACTTGGTAAATACATTATTTTTCACATGTCGTTTTGGCACTCATCCGTTTCTATAATTAACTCTTAATTTACAATTTTCCATTGTAAATGAAGAGTTAAAATTAGTCCATGTGTTTCTCTAAATCTCAGATCCAAATCAAAATCTCAGGGCCTTGATGCGGGAAATAAATATTCGCAAAGCTCTGCAAAAAGGGGAAGAAGCTTTAGTATCGGTAACTATGGTATTTGATTATTTACTAGTTTAATTTAAAAGAGTTCATTTGTAGAAACCGATATCTCTGATTTTTAAAATTGGTCAAAAAATGTATTCAAATAGCTGCAGTCTTTCACAAGTCTTGTTATTGGCAGAAAGGTGGAAAGAAATGTGTTTAAAGCTGCACTAACGGCGGCACGGTGGCTGAGTGGATAGCACTCTCGCCTCTCAGCAAGAAGGTCCTGGGTTTGAATCCCGGTTGGACCAGGGCCTTTCTGAGTGGAGTTTGCATGTTCTCCCCGTGTCTGCGTAGGTTTCCTCCAGGTGCTCCGGTTTCCCCTACCACTAAAAATATGTACAATAGTTCTGGCATGCGCCTCCTGTACTGCCCCCCCCCCCCCCCCACTCCCAAAAATAACAATTGTAAACCGCTTTGAGACTCCGATGTGCAGTGAAAAGGCGGTATATAAATAAAGATTACTTACTAACTGACTTTGGGATTTTGAAGCCGTGGACTCGCTGGCCTCGTCCTTTCTCCTCCCCTCCCCGCACCCACGAAGCTATCGCCCCCCTACACACACCCACTGTTGGGACGGAGTTAGCGTCTCCCAATATGGATAATACATGGAAATGGATTTGCACTCGGATGGCGTGACCATAGAACGATAGGCTGTTTCGCTGAGTAAGCAGTAACCGGTGACGAAGACGAGCAAGTTTCAGGTTAGCTCCGCTGCTTGTTGTGCTACCTCAGCTGTCTGTGCTAACGAACCTGTAGATTTCTCACAAAAGTGGGGGCCAGTGGTCCGCTGTGATTGGTCACAATCTGAGACCCGAAACACATTCTCTTCCTTGTTTCATCAAAACTTGATCTAAAATATAATGTCACACCAGCACAAATCTGCGCTACGTTTTCTTCAAAAGGACGTTTATCTCAAAGCACTGCATGGACATGGATAGACTTTTCGTAATTAATACAAAAATAAAGTCAGTTAGTGCAGCTTTAAGAAGGAGTTCAACTATTTTTGTATGGCACTAAAATACATCCATCTTTCCACAAATCTACTTGATAAAGAGCACATTTTAAGCATTTCAAATATGTTTCTAATAGAATATCTGTTCGTGCTAATTTTATTTTCAAATGTTAATAAAAATGTATAAATTATGGTGTGTTTTGGCCTTTTCTGTATAATAATAGTATGCAAATGAATGAACTTTTTGATGCAGGTGAACTGTATTCTGTCACTAACGGCGCCTGCTGCTGCTGCGATACAACTCTTTATCACTAATTCACCTTCAATTCATATTTTTTCTGGTCTCATCTCATTGTTTCATGTAATTACTGCCGTTTCTGCTCCAACGTAAGCTAAACTTTTCAACCGACAGGGCGATACAAAAGCTGGGAATCACACATCCTAAATTATAGACTGAAGCAGATCAACCCCCGAACAGCAGCTTTGGTACCACCTGTAATTAAAACGTGTTGCTTTAAGAATTGTTATCACCAATTTCAATCGCAACAGGTTTTACGTAATAAATCAAAGTGAAAATGAGTTCATTTCCATATTAATAATGTAGTAACAGAATACTTCGGCAGCACATTTAACGAGGAAATTAACCAATGCAATTTGATTATATAGAGATCCCATCAATGGAAAATGTGTTTATTTATGTTCTTCCAATACTTTTAATCCAATAGAATAGGGCCAATTACTAATTAACTTTAACTTGACATGCGTTTTTATTATTGACATTTATGTTTTGTATACAGTAATTTCTACTTTGTTTCTTTAATTGGGTATATATTTTTAGGTGTGCTAGTTGTGTTTAGACTTAGACCTTATTGATCCACAGGGACATTGCATAGTAGCTTGCATAGATTTTCACAATAAAAAATAACGTTACAATCAAAAAATACAATTAATACACTGGGTAACAAAAAAATATTTGTTTAAAATAGTCCAGGGTTTTTCAGCTGAATCAGACTAATGTTGATGCTCTGAGTCCGAAAATGACCTTGGTTTTGCTCAATCAGGTCAGGATTTTTTACTACAGAAATATATATTTTTAATCGTTTTTTCCGTTTTCCTCAAGAAATAAAAGTCAACGTATCCAAAGTCATTCCGTTTTTATTTACTCCATCAAATTTGATAAGCAGAATTCATAATAACGTAGACGTACATAATCCGTAATCCGGCTGTATCTCAAAAAGTTGACCTGATAGAGACAAATGCATGAGATATTCGGACTCAGAACACCAACATTAGTCTGAATCAGCTGAGAAACCCCTGACCATTTTTTGGCTGTCAACTTGTGTTATGAGATAATATTTGTTAGAATAGAATAATCTGGATAGAAGTACTCATATGTACACATTGTGCGATCCTTACTATTCACTGTGGTCTCCTCATTCCTATTCTTCTGTAACTTGACGCAATCAGAAACAACATATTTGTGGAAGTCCAGTAAATATATTGTTCTTTAGTGAGGAAAATAACACCAGAAAAAGCCTTGAATATCTTATTGTGTCAATCCCTTTGAGTTGCCTCGAGCATGAACTGTGCTATTGACCCCGAACATGTGACGTCCCGGCCACGCCCACTCTCCATGACAGACGGCGGAGGTCTAACTGAGAGCCCTCGGAAACTTGACCAAAACAACCTGTTTCACCGAATAACAGCCAAAATTGTGATATTGTGCAGTGCGGTTGATTATACTAACAGGCACGGACATAAGCTTTTTTATCTGATACCTGCTCGTCATGAAGACAGAAGAAGACGACAATGGCGGCAATCAACCAAAAGCACTGGGACCCATCCAAGTACTCCCTAATCTGCAGTGAACACTCTTTACAAGATATATCAATCACAATTTTGTATTTATTTTCTTTCAGGACGTGTGCTCTTACTACTGTCCTGTCTGTGCGCTGCAACATTGAAATTTCCTCACTGTGTCACGAATACAAGATCTCTTATGTTATCTTAGACGTCAGTTGCGTTTTTCACTGATTTCCTCTCCGTCAATATGTGTCACGTTTGGCTGTAGACAGAAAAGTGCATTGCTAATGTGCTAATGCTAATGCGCTAATGCTAATGCTCTAATGCTAATGCGCTAATGCTAATGCGCTAATGCTACCAGCAAAATGAACAATTAAATCTGCTCCAGTGTGAGGAGATGCATTATTAACGACATAATGAAAAAGATCAATTGGGGATGAATACGGGCAAAGTTGGACATTTCATTTAATCAATAAAATTGACTGTGGGGAGAAGGTACGGGTCAACATCCAGGTTTTGAAGAGTTGTAGTCCGTTTTGCTCTCGCCGCAATGCTAGTTTCCGATACTTCCGCCGTAAGCTCATTTACAATCACGTGACTGGATGACGTCGATGCATCTGGTCAATACAAATAAACTTGCCTTTCTGTCAACAATACAATGTTTTCTCTCTAAATGTGACCAAAGAGACATGTATTCTTTACCTTGACGTTGTCTCTGGTCCCAAGCCTCTTCATCAGAACCTCGGCCCTCTGCAGGATCTCGTCAGTCGTGTTATCCTAAAAAGACACGGGGAAGAAAATAAGTGCAGAACACATAGGGGAGAGTTGGAGTTAATTGGACACACTTGGAAAACCACCAGAGCTCTTTGAAATGCAAAACATCAAGAACAGGCCGGCAAAATTAAGGACTTTTGGAGAAACATTTGGGTTTGCCGAGCCCCTAACTTCCCACAGAGTTGGAGGGGAAAGTGTGTCCCTGTTTGCTCGGCTTCTTGATTTTCTTGACATGCGTTTTATTTAACAGTTAGGAATAGTTAAGAGCAAAGAAGAGCAGAGGAAAGATGATTTTATGATATTATATTTTAAGGTTATGGCTTTAAGTAAAACATTTTTTTGTTTATAATACAAATAATCTCATGATGGTTGAAACTAAGGCTGTAATTAACAATAGTTTGACCAATTATTATCTTGCTCTTGAAGATATTTTACTTTCATTCACTGGTTTTGGCTCCATATATAAAATATTAGAATATGTAAGGTTAAAATAATGATTAATCAATAACTAAAATTGTTTCATTATTGTCTATGTCACAGCTCTATATTTGCAACATCAGCTTGAAATAAATTATGGTCAGTGCGGCTTATTTTTGAAGATTTATGAAAATTATGAGATTGCATTTGTGGATTGTGATCACAAATGCAAATACATTCCAATTTTCTTCATTAAATTAATATGGTGGAAATACTGAAAATCTATGACAGTTATGGAAGCATGTCGTATTTTCAAAAGGTTTAAAATGGACTCACTGTATTAGAATTACAATGGATATATTTGTATTAATAATTACGTTTAACATTTTCAAGCCTATTTTCCAATCAGAGAGCTGAATGAGACTCTCACTCGGGTTGCCAGATTGATGTGGAAAAATTAGCTGGTTTTGGCTCCATCTTGTAAAAACACAACAGTTGTATTGTAGACCATTAAGAGTGCATTAAACACACTGTCTCTTTGTGGCAGTATATTCTGTCAGGTTTCATAGTGTATTTCTTCACCAATGTGTGTTTATGTTTTGAGAAAATTAACTTAGTTGAGACTATTCCCGTACAGAACAGAATAGTGTTATTTCCAAAGCGACGCTGGAATTGTTCAGAATAACTAAAACAATTGTTTGTTTTGACAGGGCAAATAATAATTCTCCCTGCAATATTTCCAACAATTTCACCGGTATAATAACAACAACACCAGTGTCTGCTTTCTACAAATTGTCGCATTGTGGCAGCAGGACGAGACGAGAATATCTGAAAGGAGATATTATGGACATACAAAACCGGCTCTATACTCGGCCTCAGCTTTACGTCAAATGAAGCTTGGGATGAAAGTTTGAGATGACAAGCGTGTGATTTTCCCAAAGTGTCACGTCAATGCGCCATGCTGCTTGTGGCCTCCGTAAAAAAAGCACTGAACGCATTACGGTTTGTGATATAAATGCAAATGTACCTCCTGGTGGACGCGGCCTTCATCATTGGGAGGAAGAGGATTTGAGGGGCGGGGGTGAAGAGCTTTGACAAGTGGGGAAGAGGCGGGATGTCGAGGAATGAGAGGAGAGAATCAACGTAGGCAATGGTGTGTGTGTGTGTGTGTGTGTGTGTGCGCGTGTGCGTGTGCGTGTGTGTGTGTGTGCGTGAAAGACCTCAAATACATTGCTGTGTGGAAGATAGCAGCAGATACATGTAGCCGCGAGACAGGCTCCTAAAAAGATCACAGCACGCCTTTGTGGTTCCTGTCCCACAATCCTTCACTCCTACGCCAACGCTGCGCTGCTCTGTGGCACCTGATAAATTTGGAAACACTTTAGGAATATACTCGGCGCCTCCCTTTGCTCTGTCACAGGAGCTGCAGGTGCTTTACCATGGCACAATGTTTACACAACGCCTCAGCATCAGAGGTGTGCGACCTGCTTTACACACACCTTCACCTTTTCTATTAGGGAGAAATCAAGGGCAGTGGTGCATGTTTGATGATGGTAGGAAATGGAAAAGAAAAAAAAAATACTACCCATAGATTTGCATCTTTATACAAGTTCCATATTTGTCGGACTAAAAGTTGTTCCAGAGAGCAAGTCGCACCAGACAGAAAATGCTTAACAAAGAAAAAGCTGGTTCTATCTCAGTGTTTGTGTTTGTGTATGTGTGCACAAGAGGGTCTGTTGATAATCATTTACATTTATGTTTCTATAAATAACTTTATCAACAGCAGTACCAAGAACAGACTTCCCTATCCACACTTCCCTACCTGAATCTAACTATATCAATCTGAATCTAGAAAAAGGTGTCCTGGTCCCAGTGTGTCCTTTCACCCTTGTGCAGCGCCAGGAGCCATCCCCAGATGCGTCTGATTGGTCAATCCTTATACAGCTCATATCTGGATTTACAAGGACAATAGCAACATACAAACCCTGGATCACAGAGAGCTCAAAATCTGTTACTGAGCTGGAGGACTGTACTTTCAAAGTGAGTCAACAAGACAAGAGCAAGTTGAAGAAAAACTTCGGCCGTGATCAATTCCTCATGGGGCTGTATTGAGCTGGCGGGTTAGCATTGGCCCAGGACCTTACTCCTGAGTAACAAGAGTGCTAACCACTCTGCCACCATGCAGATGGTGTGATGCATTGCGAACCAGCCTTTGTATTTGTTAAGAAGCTCATGTCTGGAGTTGCAAAAGACCAAAGGGATGGAAGTAATCCACACAAAACAACTCGCAGCATAGTTGGTGTTTGCAATTAACAAGAACTCCACAAAACGATATTTACAGCAGTATTTACAACATTGACAGAGCAAAACCACCAGCTGCCTCACAACAGTTCTATCGACAAAAAAATAAATATATTCTTTATTTCTAATCAAACTGCATTTGAATTAAATTACTTAAATTCAAAGTACTGGAATCATTCAATCACAGGACTAGGAAAAATACACCATTGGCTCTTGATGCTTTATGTGTGTACACTTGTTTTTGATGTAACCTCTATGGTTAACGGTACGTTGTGGATAACATGGGTCAGTCACCGTCAACAGAACCTCAATCTAATGCCTCAGACTCAACTGAGAACCACATGGGACGTCTCCAGGCTCACCGATGGAAACTCTTGCAGGCGGAGTGGGCAGTGTCGTGAATCACAAACAAGCAGTATTTGTGAGGATTAGCAGTCTCTAAACCCAGATGAGGAGTGGACCGGTGGCATCTAATCCCTGTAAAACTCATCCCAGCTCAAGGACAATGGCGCTGCTGCGGACTGTAGACCTTCTAGAACTCAGGACGACTGTGCTACAAGGAAAGACTTCTCCAGAGGCTAATCCACGAGTAGATCATCCGTCTATAGGAGGTCAGTGGTCTATACTTGCTCTCAGGGCTCTATCTGCAAACGGACACATGTCAGCCCAGGACACATCAAAGGCTTGAGTGTTCACAGGGCTGGATTCATAAAGCTGGAGGACTTAACTTTCAAACCAGTAGGAGGTGGCTGAGTGGATAGCACTCTCGCCACTCAACAAGAAGGTCCTGGGTTTGAATCCCGGTCGAAACAGGGTCTTTCGTAGTAGAGTTTGCATGTTCTCCCCGTGCCTGCGTAGGTTTCCTCCGGGTGCTCCGGTTTCCCCTACCACTAAAAATATGCTCACTATAGGTTAAATCTTCCAGCTCTGGTCCTGACCAAGCTGAGCATCAACATCTGGAGATGGGTTCCTGGGCGCTGTTACTACGGCAACAACTGCTCCTGACGACATAAGCCTTAGTGCCATCAGGATGGGTCAAATGCAGAGGACAAATTTCCCTACGGGGACAATAAAGTGCACCTTTAAGGAGTGAACCGTCTAATAAAATTCATGAAACTCGTTGCTCTCAAAACCTTTTGGTTTGCACATGTATGTATTATTTGGCAAAGCTCTGAAAAAGGCTTTCATGACCAACTTCATGAACTTTCTCTCCTTTGTATTGATGTATTACCCACCCAACACGTGATAACAATTGTTTTAGATTTGTTTTGGGTCTTTCACTACCTACAATCAGTTTTATTTAACAACTTTTTCAGACAGAAATTGAACGCCCTCAATCAGCCAATCAGCAATCAGCTCAAAGTGTCAAATGTTGTGGTCTGTTTTGTCCACAACATTTTACTTTGATGCTTTTGTCTTGGCAATTGGTAAATCAAAGTGATGACGTTTAGAAACAGATTTGTGTTTGAGGTTTAAAAGAGTAAAGTATAGATTATTACAAGTGGAGGAGTTCAAGTATCTCGGGGTCTTGTTCACGAGTGAGGGAAGAATGGAGCGTGAGATTGACAGGCGGATCGGTGCAGCGTGCGCAGTGATGCGGTCTCTGTATCGGACCGTCGTGGTGAAGAGGGAGCTGAGCCGAAAGGCAAAGCTCTCGATTTACCGGTCAATCTTCGATCCCTCCCTCACCTATGGTCATGAGCTTTGGGTAATGACCGAAAGAACGAGATCGCGGATACAAGCGGTCGAAATGAGCTTCCTCCGCAGAGTGGCTGCTCCCTTAGAGATAGGGTGAGGAGCTCAGTCACACGGGAGGAGCTCGGAGTAGAGCCGCTGCTTCTCCACGTCGAGAGGAACCAGTTGAGGTGGCTCGGGCATCTGTTCCGGATGCCTCCTGGACGCCTCCCTGGGGAGGTGTTCCGGGCACGTCCCACCGGGGGGAGGCCCCGCGGAAGACCCAGGACACGCTGGAGGGACTATGTCTCTCAGCTGGCCTGGGAACGCCTTGGGGTCCCCCCGGACGAGCTGGAGGAAGTGTGTGTGGATGGGGAAGTCTGGGCGTCTCTGCTTAGACTGCTGCCCCCGCGACCCGGCAACAGATAAAGCGGAAGAAAATGGATGGATGGATGGAAGTATAGATTAAATTTTATAAATAAAGCTAAAGCAGAGATTCAGACTGGAAACTCTACTCGTGCACCTGACCACTGTCCTCCCTCTGCACCGCAACCAATCATATCTCAACTGGCCATATTTAACAACACTGCCCTGCATTTTCATAAAGTGTT